AGGACCCCAGTGCCTCTCCCACTAATCTCCTCATCTCAATGAAGTTGGCCCTCCTGAAGTCTAGGGCTACCGCCTTGCTGCGGGCCCTTGACACCCTACGCTGGATGGTGAATTCCAGCAAGCGATGATCACTATTGCCCAGGTGGTCAAGAACTTGGAGGCATGATAAGGCTGAAAACAGCTTGACATTACCTATACATAAAGAGTTACTGATATACATACCATATCAGTAAAACAAACTCAAGAAAAGATGGAGAACATTTTACAAACCCCTGAAAGTATGGTAGGTTCATGATGGACTTCTTTGTGGTTACAGTTTGGCTCCAAATAAACTATAGTTTTCAGTCCTCAACACTTCTGTAAATCTGGCCCAAGATGACCCATGCAGAGTACTCAGAAAATGAGGGAAACACTGATCATAACCACCAGAGATAAATGTGATTTAAGTGATCTATGAAAAAGCAGAGAGAAAATCCAGTTTTCTAGGGTGGCATCAACCATGAGGCAGAAGGCAGGATAGATTTGCACCTTCTAAACTAAGTAAATCAGAGATCGATAGCATAAGCTTTTGTAAGCAGCAGGTTTACTTCATAAGATGCTGTTGCAGCTTCATGTCATGGATATCGTGTCTACCCTGCCTTCTGCCTGATATTAGACTAACACGACTGACTACCTCTCTCTGCTCATGAGACCATCCTTTTTCTTGCAATTCATTTTCTCATTAACTACTTCTCCTTCAACTTCTGCAACAAATGATGTAGTTGCCTTAAATACAACACCTCCTTTTGTTATACAATCCTGATTCACCCACAGAGCACAGTTCATCCAATACCCAGAATGAGGCTGAGCCACTGTACCTTTCATTTACTTTTCACTGGATGAAATGGATTGATAGCGCTAGGGAAGTTTCTGCCCCATTAGGAGAAATAGTCCAAGCACTAATCCAGAGGCACCATTTCTTCCCATCCATTTCACTGAGCTATATACTCTCTATTGTGTTCTCTTTTTCCTGGTTCTATAATTCTCCTTCTCTTGGCTGCCCCTGAGGTCTGCTTCAAATGAATGATACTTTTCCCAGTTAAAACTACAAGGAAGACTTCATATGCACAAATCAA